CAAGCACGCACACATACATACACACATGCACACATACATGCATGCATGCATGCATGCATGCATACATGCATACATACATACGTGCATATACATACATGCATGCATGCATGCATACCATACCTGCCTGCCTGCTGCCTGCCTGCCTGCCTGCCTGCATGCATGCATGCATGCATGCATGCATGCATGCATGCATGCATACACACACATATATTATATATATATATATATATATATATATATATATATATGTATGTATTGATGTATATACCCGCATGCATACATGTATGAATGCATACATACATACGCCCTTATACATATGCATACGTACTCTCGTATACATATATACATACATCTACACACATATTCAATGGCGCAGCCGTGCCTGGATTTTGGGCCCTAGTAATCAGAGATACTTCTTGGGGCATCTGCGGAGCGCTCTGAGACCCCTTGGGGGTAGTTTTCGAGCCTAGCGGGTAAATTGTTTGGGCTTCTTGGAGGCCTTTTGTAAGCATCTTTAGGACCTCCTGGGGTCTCTTCCTGGGGGCCTCCTGGGAGGTCCCGTCTTGGAGCCGTCTTGGGGGCCTCCTGGGCTGTCTTGGAGGCCTCTCGGGCCGTCTGGGGACCCTCTGGACATATTTTGAGGCCCTCTTGGAGGCCTCTTGGGCCGACTTGGGGCGATCTTGGGGAGCCCAAAAGGCAGAACGCCCAAATCCTTCAAACACCCTAGGGAAAATCATTAATTGAGCCCAACAGGGGGGCCTCTAGGCGTCTCGTGGGCCTCTTCGGCAGCTTGGAGGCCATCTTGCGAGCCTGGGCTGTCTTCGACCGTGTGTGCGGCGTCCTGAAGCTTTGTTGGCCCGTTTTGGGAGCCCTCCTGGGCGAGGGGACCGTCCCGCAGGGGACGGGGGACAGGCTCAAGGAGGGGGGGGGAGGCAGGCGCACCGGGGGCGGGCGCACCGACCGGCAGTCGCCCATTCATCGCCGATTGAGGCCTGATAGCCCAGCCAGCCCATGAACGTCTGGTTGGTTTCGCTATCGGGGGCCTGCCGCCGATCCATCGTCGATACACTGCCGATTCCAGCTCAATGGCTTCCTCCCCTCCGTCCTCCTCTGACGGAGGTCGTCCACTCGTGCCTCCCAAGCCTTCTTCCCCCGCCCTTCTGCATGAGCATCAACGGTCGGAGGTCCGCGCGGAGTTCTTGCGGCCTGCGCTGAACCCATCCCCGCCCCCCACACGTGTGCCAAGCGCACCAGTGGCGGCGGCAGAGGCGCCTCCCGTGGGGGTCGAGCGCCGGCCCAAGAAACCTGTGCGGGCATCAGAAGGTTGATGATCATGTGTCGTTGTTTCTTGCAGCCGGACTGAGGTTCAAGATCGAGGTCGATTCGGGGAGGGCACCCTTGGATGTTCTGCGTGTTTTAGCCAGTGGAGCGCCTCGTGTTCTTGATGGATGTTATTCTGGCCTACGTCCGACTGTACAGCCTGGGCTCTGAAGAAGGAACCCTTTTCATTGGGGAGGGGCTTCGTGTTACTCAATTATTCCACAGCTTGCCTTAGGTTTTCTCTAGGTCTTCGATGGGAGATCGAAGTTTAAATTGTGGAAACATGGGGTCTCGTTCCTCATTTAGGGCTCCTTAGGTCAACGCCCCGACTGTATACCAGCCCCTCCCTTACCGCTCATGGTCGACGCCGGGAGCCAAGAGAGCCCCGGGCGGGCAGCCAGCACGTTGTCCCAGCAACGGGCGCTCGCTACCGCAGGCCAAGGGGCAGTTGTTTTTTTTGGTGCGTCTCGGGGTCAGGGGTGGGGGCCGTCTATAGTTAGAAGTGGTCCCAGGGCGGGGCGGGAGGGCGCCTAATCCTGACATCCGCATTCGTCTTGGTGTGAACATTTTTTGATGGAGCGGTTGTTGTGATTGTTTTTTTGGTTTAGCTGTGGCGTCGGATTCCTCGTTCTTGGTTGGTTTGCGCCCGAAAACGTTTTTTCCAGGTTCGCGTTCGCGACACACGCAGGTCTTCGGGATGAGTTGCGCGATTGGTTGGGCGTGGTTTCCACTTTGAGCGCGTACCTGAGGGTGTCGGTACTCGGCCTAAGTCGGGCACGTCCCCCTGCAGGAGGAATATTCAAACATAGTCTAGAAACAGTATGGGAACGATTTTTCGAGAATGTTCGAGCATTTCTCTAGTATTTGTTTGATTATTTTAATTTTCGTTCAAAATCCGCCTGGCGAAGGACACGCCTGACCTGATACTCGCCCTTTGCTTTGCACATAGGCTTTGCCATGCACGGTGGTATTCGGCCTCGGTCTCGGTTGTCGGTCTCGGTCTTGCGTTGCCGTCGGCATGCGGTCCCGGCATGTAAGGGGAGCGTCGAGCATCGGCCTCTGTTTTGCGACGCGGGGTGATTGCCCGGGATCTGAGGATGCTGAAGATGATGGTAGCGACGAGGAGGAGGAGGAGGAGGACCAGGAGGAGAAGGAGGAGGAGGAGAAGGCGAAGGCTCTCACATGTGAGGCCTTTCGTCTTCGGCCCGCGCAAGCCTGTTTCGACAACTGCCCACATTCGTTGGGTTGCCGTGGACCATCGGAACCTGAAGTTGAGACCTCACAAGATTCAATCTGGCATGAAACTCGAGCTTGGCCCGCGGCGAGGAGAGACGCTTGACTCTGAATTTCACGCACCAAAAGAGACTTGACGCGCAAATTCGCGCACCAAGACACGCAGCCGCGGGCCGGCACCAATTCACGCCCCTGCGCGGCCCCCCACAGACTTGACCCCCAGACGTTCACAAAGTTGGTTTGCCCCCTGGCGGCAACGGGCGCGGGCAGTGAGGGTCACGTCACGATTCGCGCCATCCTGCGCCATCTGGGATGATTAGGAAAAGGTAAGTCCCACACGACGTCGGCGCCCATCGTGACATGACCGGGGGGGGGGACGGGGCTGGTCACGGGCGTTACAGCGAATGATTCTACAGGCTTGCGCCACATCCGCCGACCCCTTTCTGTGAGCGTTGCGAGGCCAGGAGTTTCTGGCATGCGGCGTCGTGTGTGAGGGTGCGGTGTCGCGCGCGGGTGGTGGCAGATACGTAGGGGGTTCAAATGTTTGCGTCATGCCGGTGGTCTGGGGCGTGTTTTGCGAGCGCTTTGCGTGCTGTGCGCCCGGGTGCGGGGCGTCCTTCTGGGAGGTCGGCCTTTTTCGACCCGCAACCAAGCGGAGGACCACCGGAAGACGAAAGGAGCAAGAATAGTGTGCGGAAGCTGTGATCGGCGAGGCATCACCGCGAAAGATGTGGCAGATGAGTCGGAACGGGTGAAGAGGCTGTTGACGTTCGCAGCGCGCACGGAACAGTTTGCGCGGCAGCAGCACACTAGCGCCGAACAAGATAGCGAGCACGTCGCGAGGAAGAGCAAGGCTGTATGCGCGGAGTGCATTGCAGTTGGCTTGACGGCTCGCAATACGGAAGCGTCTGGGGGTCTTGTGGGGGCCTCCTGGGGGCCTCTTGGGGGCTCCTTGGGGCGTCTTGGCGGCCTCTTGGGGGCCTCTGGCGGCCTCTTGGGGCACTCTTGGGCCCCCTTCTGGGGCTCGTGGGTGTGGAAACCTAGATTTTGGGATTTTTGGTTGCCCTCTTGGGCCCCAAGTGGTGCCGTCTTGGGGCCTTCTTGGGCTTGGCCGTCTTGGGGGCCTCTTGGGCAGTCTTGGGCCAGTTGGGGCCGTCGTGGGGCCGTCTTGGGGGCCTCTTGGGCCGTTTTGGGGCGGTCTTCGGGGCCTCTTGGGCCGTCTTGGAGCGTCGGAAAGCCCACGAGGCGAAGTTGTGAAAAGCGTACGTTTTACACAGGGAATGAGCAAATTTCTGCGACTAGGGACCCTTTTGGGGCGCATCTTGGAGGCCTCTTGGGGGCGTTTTGGGTCACCTGGAGGCCATCTCGGGTGTCTTCGATCGCTTTTGGACCGTGTGGGACCATGTTGAGCTCTCTTGGAAGCCACTTGGAGCACTCCTGGAGCGCTCTCGGGGCCGTCTTCGGGGCTCTCTTGGGCCGTCTTCGGCGCCTCAGGAGCCGTCTTGGCGCCCTCTTGGGCTGTATTGGGGCCCTCTTGGAGGCTTCTTGGGCCGTTTTGGGGCGGTCTTGGGGGCCTCTTGGGCCGTCTCGGAGCGTCGGAAAGCCCAAAAGGCGACTTTGTGAAACATGCACGTTTTACCAAGGGAACGGGCCACTTTGTGCGTCTAGAGGCCCTCTTGGGACGCATCTTGGATGCCTCTTGGGGCCTCTTCCGGGCATCTTGGGCCGTTTGGAGGCCATCTTCGGTGTCTTTGATCGCTCTTGGACCGTCTTGGGACCATATTGAGCTCTCTTGGAGACCACTTGGAGCGCTCCTGGAGCGCTTTTTGGGCCGTTTTCGGGGCCCTCTTGGGCCGTTTTGGACTCCTGTTAGGCCGTCTTGGGGCCCTCTTGGACTATCTTGGGACCCTCTTGGAGGTTTCTTGCGCCGTCTTGGGGCGGTCTTGGGGGCCTCCTGGGCCGTGTGGGAGCATCGGAAAGCCCAGAAGGCGAATTTGTAAAAATTGTACGTGCGAAGGGAATGGGCAACTTTCTGCGTTTAGTGACCCTCTTTGGGGCGCATCTTGGAGGCCTCTTGGGGCCTCGTGGGGGCCTGTTGGGCCGTCTAGGAGGCCTCTTAACCCGTTTTTGGGCCATCTTGGGCGTCTTGGAGCGCTCGTTTGGCGTCTCGGGGCCCTCGTGGGCCGTCTTGGAACCCTTTTGGGGCCTTCTTGGCCCATCTTTAAGCCCTCTTGGGCCCGGGAAAGCCCGTGATGCGCTCGTCGCCCCCCCCCCCCCCTCCAAATCGACCGGGCCGGGCTCCCCGGGGAGGGGTTTGGGGAGGGGGGAACATCTCACACGCCGATGATCCCCAAGGGGTCGGCGGATAAGGAACGGGATCCAACCGTCTCCGAGTATTCGCTCGGGCCCCCCCCACTTCGTTCCTCGAATCCTTTCGCGCTCGGCAGATGCCTACGACCTCGCGTGCGTGTTCGGCGAGTCGTTCGAGGGCGCCGACGTGGAGGAACTCCTGGCGCAGGCGGACGCCACAGGTGCCGCGGCAAGGGCAGAGAAAGCGGGCAGAGAAGAAGGAGGAGGAGGAGGAGGAGGAGAAGGAGGAGGAGGAGGAGCAGGAGGCGGAGGAGGAGGAGG